TCCGGCTCACACATTTTTGTCTTCGCTCAGGGAGGAGGGCTCCAGAGCAAACTAATTGATGCAGCGGCCAAATCGCTGGCTCACAACTTTAATGCCGGCAGCTCACAACGTAGGATTTTTGCTCACAGGACTCCACAGCTTAGAGGGAGCATTGGTCCTGTCCCCCCTCAGCCTCCTCTTCTCTAGACTGAACATTCCCAAGTCCCTCATCAGCCTTTCCTCGTTGGGTTTGGTCTCCAGGGCCCCCCCCCCGATCTTTAGCTTATGTCTTTAGCTTATTCTACTGACCCATCCCACCACCATCCGGTGAGGAATATTCCCCGTACGTCGCTGACCTGGAAGCGGCGGGGTTTGTTTCTCGTTCCTTTCCACGACGGATTCTTCCACAGATTTCGAAAGGGGGAGGTCCTCCACGTTCTTCACGGGCGTAGAGACCGCCCCCGGCTTTGCTATTCTCTCGTCGTCTCTGCTCCGGAGACTGAAACCCAAAAAGGAAAGGAGGAAAAAAAAAAAACACGCACAAAAACCGCATTTAGAGTTGCAGCAATAATTCTAGCTGAAATATCTGCAATCAAAATAGCGTTTCTGGCACAAAAGGCATGACACACGGGAGCGTTTTTTAATGCTAAAAAAATTTGGATGTTGGCTTGGGAGAGAAGTCCCGGGCCAGTCACCCTGAAGGACTAACGCACGAGAGGACGCTGGAGACGCAAATTGCTCCAAGTGGAATCTCTTCGTCTGGAAGGGCTACTCGAGGGAGAGCCAACTCCCAAAACTTTTCCTGTGGGTCCCGGAAGCTGGTTCGGCACAGGATGTTTGACGCCATCAACTCCGCCACGCCCCCCCCCAACGGCTGAAGTGTTTCAGCCGCTTGCGCCAAGCAAAGGACCTCACAAAGGGATGCCTTCTTTGCCCCTGACCTTATAAACTTTTCCAAACACAAAACGCAGACCTATGAAAATCTAATTAAGGGGAAAATAGCACAGGACAGAGCTGAAAGAGATGCAACCATCTCCCTGTAAACCCAGGTCCCATCCACCTTGCAAGGTATGTGAAACCTGGGCAGGGTTTGACTGGGACTGGGGTTCGAATCCTGACTCCCTGGGTGACATAGGAACAGTTGCTCTTTCTTAACCGAGAGAACAAACGTAAATCCTTATTACTACTCATCCCTCTCAAGTACTGCTAATATAAGCCAGTGATATAATCAAGACTGTTGTAGAGGGTAACTGTGTTGGTCTGCACCAGAAGAGCTAGATTCGAATCCAATATAACCTTAGAGACAGACAAGATTTTTGAGGTATAAGCCTTTGAGACTCAACACTTCATATCTGATGAAAGGAGCGTTTAATTTATTAGATTTTTTTAGTCACTGGTCACCCAAGGGTGTCTCGCGGGGACTTACCACACTTACAACAACGTCATCGCAAATAAGTTATAAATCAACAAAAGCAAATAATACATATAAAATTCTTAAAATATATGACTCAGCGCCACACGACTATCAAACCAGCCCAGAGCATCTGGTTAACCTCCCAAAGCCAACCTGAACAGTTTGGCCTTACAAGCCCTGGGGAAATTAAGCAAGCCCCGCAGGGCGTGGGTGTCACCGGAGAGTGCATTCCACAGGGTAGGGGCCACCACCGAGGAAGCCCTTCCCACCGTAAAAGCTAAGCAAACCTTCCTGGAGCCAGGCTCCTGCAAGGGGCCCTGAGAAGATGACCAAAGAGGGTGCGGGGAGAGGCGGTCCCGTGGGTATGACGGTCCCAAGTCATAGAAGAAGAAGAAGGGAAGAGATTGGATTTATACCCCGCCCTTCACTACCCAAAGGTGTCTCAGAGCGGCTTACAAACGCCTTTCCCTTCCCCTCCCCACAACAGACACCCTGTGAGGTAGACGGGGCTGAGAGAGCTCTTGACAGAAACTGCTCTTTTTTCAAGAACAGCTCTTATCGGAACTGTGTCTTGCCCAAGGTCATCCAGCCAGGTGCAACTGGAAGAGTGGGGAATCAAACCCGGTTCTCCCAGATTAGAGTCCCAGATTAGAAACAAATAAAAACTAACAGCAAAGCCTTGAAATGGATCCGGAAACTAATTGGTAGCCAGTGCAGCTGCCACGAAACTGGGCCACTATGAGCTTTGCGTGAACACACGAAGATGACTTATACTGAATCACACCCGGTGCATCAAGGTCAGTCTTGTCTACTCAGACTGGAAGCGGCTCTCCAAGGTCTCAGGCTGAGGTCCTTCACAGCGCCTACCACCTGATCCTTTCAGCTAGAGATGCCGGGGATTGAACCTGGGACCTTCTGCAGGCCAAGCAGATGCTCTACCACTGAGCCACGGCCCCTACATGTGACTCTTGAAAGCGTATACTTCAAATTCTTCTTGGTCAGTTTGGTGTAGTGGTTAAGTGTGCGGACTCTGATCTGGGAGAACCGGGTTTGATTCCCCACTCCTCCACTTGCAGCTGCTGGATGAACTTGGGCAAGCTGTAGTTCTGGCACAGCTGTTCTTGGGAAAGAGCAGTTTCTGTCAGAGCTCTCTCAGCCCCACCTACCTCCAGGGGATGGGGGAAAGGAGTTTGTAAGCTGCTCTGAGACACCTTTGGGTAGTGAAGGGAGGGGTATAAATCCAATCTCTTCTCTTCTTCTTCTTCTTCTTGGTCTCTAAGATGCTACTGGACTCGAATCTAGCTCTGTTATACTCAACAGCACATAAAAGAGACTAAATATAGCTCTTGACAATTTTGTATAATGATTCTCCCTTATGCGCAATGTTCCCTCTAAGCTGTGGAGTCTTGTGAGCAAAATTCTACTTTGTGAGCTGCTGGCATTAAAGTTGTGAGCGAGTGATTTGGATAGTTTGCTCTGGAGCCATCCTCCCTGAGCTAAGACAAAAAAGTGTGAGCTGGAGGCTAAAACACGATGAGCTAGCTCACACTAATTCATCTTAGAGGGAACACCGCTTCTGTATTACTACTAAACATGCAGAAAACAGAAAAAAGTTGGAGCCCAGTGGCACCTGCAAGAAAAAGAAGAGATTGGATTTATACCCCGCCCTTCACTACCCAAAGAAGTCTCAGAGCGGCTTCTACCCATTCTACCCAGAATAAAACTCTGCTGGTCTTACAGGTCCAATGGACTCAAACTTTAGACACAGAATAAAGAGACCAAGAAGAATTCAGGGTATAAGCTACCCAGAATAAAACTTTGCTGGTCTTAAAGGTGCCACTGGACTCCAAACTTCGTACTCAGAATAAAGAGACCAAGAATACCCATAATAGAGAGACCAATAAAGAGACCAAGAGGAATTTTGGGTGTAAGCTACCCAGAATAAAACTGTGCTGATCTTGAAGGTGCCACTGGACTCAAACTTCGTACTGAGAATAAAGAGACCAAGAATACCCAGAATAAAGAGACCGATAAAGAGACCAAGAAGGATTTTGGGTATAAGCTACCCAGAATTAAACTCTGTTGGTCTTAAAGGGGCCACTGGACTCCAAACTTTGTTCCGCTGCTTCAGACCGACACGGCCGACCCCACCTGAATCTATGTTGAAAACAGGCATTCTATTCATGGCATACCCATTTCCTGCAGCCAGGGGGCACCCCGGGCTTAGTCTTGGCAGGGCTGTCCAGAAGCAGCCTGGTATATCTGCTACAGGTGGAGTTTCCTCTTCCCCACTGCCTGGTATGCACACCAGGCAGAGATGGAGACAGGAAAGGCAAAGAGCAGATGTGATCCATTTAGGTTGCGAGCGTCAGATGACCGGGTTTTTGCTCAAATGCACACAAAACGCTTCAGAAATTTTCCATGCTGGGTCTCCAGGGACTTGTTGAAGAAAGATCCCAAAGTAAAAAAGCAGTAGTAAAAATGAAGGAAAGAAGGACCAATAATGGAGTAAGCCACAAAAGCCTTCCAAAAGGATATGCGATAAAACAGTCCTCAGGCTAGAAGCAGGTTGTAATAACGGCTTTAAAAGACTGAACCCCCCTCACCGTTAAAAGCCTTCAGGGACAAAATGACCAACAGCGATATATATTTTTGACGGGTTCTTGAGGGAGTACACTATAGTAAAAACAATAGTTGAGGGGAGGTACAGAAATATTTAGCATTTTCAGATAAGTACAGGATTTCAGAAGCAAAATGGGGTTGGTCCTGGTTGGGAGTTGGATGGGAGACCACCAAAGGAGGTCCAGGGTTGCTACGCAGAGGCGGGCAATGGCAAACCACCTCTGTTCATGGGCCCTGATGTGGACTGCTCAGGCCAGCCCGATCTCATCAGATTTCAGAAGCAAAACGGGGTTGGTCCTGGTGCTATAAGCAGGTTGTAATAACGGCTTTAAAAGACTGAACCCCCCTCACCGTTAAAAGCCTTCAAGGACAAAATGGTTTTTTTTGACCAACAGTGATATATATTTTTGACGGGTTCTTGAGTATAGTAAAAACAATGGTTGAGGGGAGGTACATAAATATTTAGCATATTCAGATAAGAAGGGTAAAATGTACTCTGACCAGGATTTCAGAAGCAAAACGGGGTCGGCCCTGGTTAGTACTTGGATGGGAGACCAGCAAGGAAGTCCAGGGTTTCTACGCAGAGGCGGGCAACGGCAAGCCACCTCTGTTCATGTGCCCTGACGTGGACTGCTCAGGCTAGCCCGATCTCATCAGCTTTCAGAAGCAAAACGGGGTCAGCCCTGGTTAGTACTTGGATAGGAGACCAGCAAGGAAGTCCAGGGTTGCTACGCAGAGGCAGGCAACGGCAAGCCACCTCTGTTCATGTGCCCTGACATGGACTGCTCAGGCTAGCCCGATTTCATCAGATCTCAGAAGCAAAACTGGGTCAGTCCTGGTTAGTACTTGGATGGGAGATCAGCAAGGAAGTCCAGGGTTGCTACGCAGAGGCGGGCAACGGCAAGTCACCTCTGTTCATGTGCCCTGACGTGGACTAATCAGGCTAGCCCAATCTCATCAGCTTTCAGAAGCAAAAGGGGGTCAGCTTTGGTTAGTACTTGGATGGGAGACCAGCAAGGAAGTCCAGGGTTGCTACGCAGAGGCGGGCAACGGCAAGCCACCTCTGTTCATGTGCCCCGATGTGGACTGCTCAGGCTAGCCCGATGTAATCAGCTTTCAGAAGCAAAAGGGGGTCAGCTTTGGTTAGTACTTGGATGGGAGACCAGCAAGGAAGTCCAGGGTTGCTACGCAGAGGCGGGCAACGGCAAACCCCCTCTGTTCATGTGCCCTGACGTGGACTGCTCAGGCTAGCCTGATCTCATCAGCTTTCAGAAGCAAAATGGGGTCAAGCCCTGGTTAGTACTTGGATGGGAGACCAGCAAGGAAGTCCAGGGTTGCTACGCAGAGGCAGGCAACGGCAAGCGAAGGAGGGTCAGTTCTGCCCAGTATTTGGATGGGAGACCACCAATGGATGCCAGGGTCACGATGCAGAGGCCGGCAGCGGCAACCTACCTCTGTTCATC